AAAAAGGTACAAGGTTTCCTATGTACCCCCTAACCCTACCCATACATAGCTTCCCACTTTATCAACATCCCTCACCAGAGTGGTACATTTGTTACAATTAATGAATTAATTGACAGAGCATTATAACCCAGAGTCCATAGTTTACCTTTCAGTTCATTCTTGGTGTTGTACATTATGTAGGTTTGGGCAAATGTACAATGACATGTATCTATCATTATAGTGTTATACAGAGTAGTTCAATGCCCTACAAATCCTCTGTGCTCTATTTATCCCAGGGCAGAAATTTTAATGAAGCCTAGTTAATTGATTCTTTCTTTCATGGATGGTCTCTTCAGTGTTGTATTTAAAAAGTCATTGCCATACTCAAGGTCATGGAGGTTTTCTCCTATGCTACATTCTTGGAGTTTTATAGTTTTGCATCTTACATTTAGAGCTATAATACCTTTTGAGGGTTTTTATTATTGTTGTTTTGTGAAAGGTGTAAAGTCTCTGTCTAGATTCCTTTTTGTTTTTGTTTTTACATGTAGATTTCCAGTTGTTCCAGGATCATTTGTTGAGAGGATTATTTGTGCTCCTTGTATTGCTTTCGTGCCTTTGTCAAAAATCAGTTAACTATATTTATGCAGTTCTATTTTGGGGCTCTGTTTCATTGACCTGTCTATTCTTTTGCCAATACCACTCTCTAGCATTATAGTAAGTCTTAAAGTTAGGTAGTGTCAGTCCTCTAACTTCATTCTTCTCCTTCAATATTGTATTGGCTGTTCTGGACCTTTTGTCTCTCCACATAAACTAGAATCTTTTTGTCAATATCCACATAACTTCTTGGGATTTTGATTGACACTGAACTGAACTATAGATCAAGTCAGGAACATCTAACATATTGACAATATTGAATCTTCCTATTGATGACCAAAGAATCTGTATATATATATAAAATGCTAAGTGACCAACCGACCATCCGACCGGCTAGTAGGTATGATGTGCACTGACCACCGGGGGCAGACTCTCAATGCAGGAGCTGCTGAGCGACAGCAACTTTGCAGAGTGCCCTCTTGCACTCCATATCCCTCGGGGGATGTCAGAGAGCCGGTTTCGGCCCAATCCCTGCAGGCCTGGCTGAGGGACCCCCACCTGCTGGAGGAACCCCACTCACTCCACAGATGCCCTTCTAGCTGTGGCGCTGCCCCAGGTGCAGCCAGCCAGGGAGAGACTAAGGGAGGTTGGCTCCAGGGCATGTCCGGCCCGTCTTTCCCAATCCCGCCCTATAGGCCACTTTCTAATTAATTTCCTTTCAATGTGCACGAATCCATGCACCGGGCCAGTAGTATCTCTATATTAATTTAGTTGATTTTGTTAACCAAAACTTATACAGATCTTATATATATTCTGTTAAATTTATACCAAGAATTTTATCTTTATGGTGCTAATGTAAAAGGAATTGTGTTTTTAATTTCAAATTACTCTTGCTCATTGCTAGTATATAAGAAAGTAATTGACATTTATTTGTTAACCTCATGTGCAACCTTGCTAAAATTAATTATTAGTTTTAGGAGTTATTTTTTTTAATGATTCTTTTGGATTTCTACATAGACTATCATGTTATCTGTGAATGAGGATGGTTTTTCTCTTCTTTCACATTCTGTATACTTTTTATTTAGTTTTCTTGTCTTCCTGCATTAGCTTGGACTTCCAGCATGATGTTAAAAAGGATTGATGAGAGAGGGATATCTTTGCCTTATTCCTGGTCTTAGTAGGAAAGCTCTTTGTTTCTCACCATGAAATATAATGTTAGCTGTAGGTTTCTTATAAATATTCTGTATCAAGTTGAGGAAGTTACCCTCTATTTCTAGTTTACTGGATGTTTTTGTCATGAATTTTATCATATTTTTCATGAATTTTGCATTTTGTCAGATACATTTTTGCATCTATTGATATCATTATGTGATTTGTCTTTTAAACCTGTGGATATGATGAATTACTTTAATTTTCAAATGTTGAACCATCCTTGCATACCTGGAATTAATTCCATTAGGTTCTGGAGTTTAATTCTTGTATACATTGTTGTATTTGATTCACTAATATTTTGTTGAGGATTTTTGTAAAACATACTTTTATATGAAGGAGCCATGGTTATTATCAAATAAGTTCTCCAACAGAATAATTACTTAGTCAACATATAT